TTACGACTCACATTTCCATTTGAGCTTTCGCTTTGCCCTTCTTACAACTGTTTAACTGGATAAGAGTTGAGCAAATACGAGTACTCGAGCCTTCAAAAAGAAAGTTTCGCTTGAGCTGCCTTCTATTTCTGTTGCTGCCGCTGCTGCTTGCCTTTTGTGTTGTGTAGTAGCTCTCGTATTTGCTCTACCATGCCCACGTTCATTGTAATCGGACATTCTTGTCTGTCTTCTACGGCTCGTACTAAACAACAAAGCGAAAAAACTTCTGCACAACTTTTTTCAGAAAGGGGCCGAACTGTGAAACAACAGCAAAAAAGGCCAATAAGACAATTTTTAATATGCATAAATCAAAGTAGCGATGCCAATAGCAGCAGCAGTAGCAGCAGCAGCCACGCCCATCGCCAGCAGTTGGCCTTTTAAATGGTCTGAATACATTGAAAACGAGTTAAAAAAGAATATCAGGAAGGAGGTGTAAGCGACTCTAAAGCCTTAAAGCCGTAAGGTATATATATTCTTGATCAAACGACAAGCTGAGTCAATCTGGCTATTTGTATGCATACACATTTCTAATAAAAGAGTCTAAGGTGTTCGGTATATCACAGTAAAGCCCTAAACATATTGAAACATCAGCTTTCAGCTAGGCTCAGGGTATCTTCTAGTCGGGCCCTAGCCACACTTCTATGTTTTTCCTTTTTATTTTTATCAAACGCTCAAAAACGGGATGTACACATGCGTCCGTCAGTCACTCAGTCAGTCAGCGAGTCACTCAGCGATATACTCACAAGCTTCCTGTTTCCTGCTCAGGGCTAAAAATGGCAACAGTGAGCTGACATCACGTTCGCTTAGCTGACATCTGCTTGTCCTGGTTGCCTGTCAATGGCTAAAAACTCAAAGTGAACTCGATGTCACAATTGTATTGACCCTTTTGGCCTCCATCTATTTGGCGAGATAACGGTTTGTGGCCAATGTTTCCGCGAGAGCTCAGTCTGAAGCTGAGCTTGAACTTTCCTGCTCCGCCTCTGCCTCCTGCTCCTGCGGTCCTGATCCAGCTGTTGTCGACAGCTCATCTAATCTGATGGGCGGCTCATCTGCTGGCTGACAATTCATTTGCTGCAGCTGTTGATGCATTGCGTCACATTACACAGCCACTTTGTGGCATGTAACCAGCAGCAACCGAAGTGACGCGCGCGCGTCACGCTGTGTAAATTACGTATACGCCGCGTGGATTTAAACTTTTTCCTATTTTTTTGGGATAACTTTTTTTTGCACATTGCTTAGCAAGTGCAGGGCTTAGCCTGGTAAGTTCCTAATATGTTGAAAGCAAGCACACACTGGCACACTCGCACACACCTGACTGTAAATCCCGCAGCTGGAATTTCGCAACGTTTTGGGACTTTTGACTGTGCCAAAAAACGTGCCAAAAGTCACGCTACATGGCCTAATGTCATTTGCATATTTATGCAACAAACTCTAACATTGCCTCTTCAAGCCCTTCACGTATTGCCCGCCCACCCATTGCTAAGCCACCCGCATTCTAGACCTTTTTTATGTATTTCTTTAGCTACAATATTTTTATTGTTGTGCTCGGGCAAATATTGAAATTGGAATACAAATTAAAAAGCTTTTAATGTAAACAGCCGTAAAGGTTCTCAGAACTCTGACCCAGCCACCCAGTCAGTTGGCCGGGCTAGCCTTTTATTTTTCAATTTTCTGCGTAAGTTTTCAAGCTAAACGGCCACGCCTACTTGTCGCTATATGTTTACTTTGTTGGGCGTGGGCCTAACAAAAGATGAAGAAGAGAACGAAGAAGAAAAGTGTATGCCTGCAGCCTTTTTGATATAAAAGTTCAAGCACCCCAACCTGCAACATAAAAAAAACCCCAAAAACAAAAAAATAAATAAATAAAATAACAAAATTAATATGCGCGCATCTGATTTGTGATGTTGGGCGGCATAAAATTGCAAACATGGGTCAAAAAAAGAGCCCGAAAAACATGAACTGAAGCTGCACTTCTAAAAATTTATAATTCATAAAAACTTGAATTCTATTATTCGAGAAATGTTGATTTGCTGTGAAAGTGCGTAAAAACTATACCAAAATTTGAATATTCATTTTGCTGTCTGATGGACAGCATCGTACTGAAGTTTTACATGCTATATAGAGATTTGTTCAAAAAGTTCAAAAATTGTGTATTTATACATGAATATTTATTCTCTTCCCTTCAAAGTAATCGCCATCAGACAATGAATAAAATAAAATAAAATAAATATCAAAAATGTTTAGCCGCTTCTTTGTTAGCGTCTTTCATCAACTCAATTATCCTTTCATGGTTTTCTTCAAGAAAAACTCACAGATGTGCAGGTCTGGCAATATGAGTGCTGCGGCATCATTACATTGTTTGTTTTGGGCCACAAATTTATAGACTGTGCTTCAATATTTGGAATTGGCCACAGTCGAAGACCAGCCAAAACATGTTCATAACAAATGTTAAAAATGAACGGAGTATTTAAAATTGCTGAGATTGTCGGCAAAAATAAGGCACATCAATATACCTATGCTATGATACAAATATATATATATATATATATATATATATATATATATATATATATATATATTGTGTAAAAAAGTCTTGGCATTGTCAAGTTGAACAAAGTGAGCTTAACAGTTTACCTTTGCTAGAGGTACGAATAAACGAATTTAAAAGGTTTCGCAGTCACAATTGCCAGTTTATCTTTTGCTCAACTGTCTGCTATATATATGTATATATAATTCAGTATATATATTCATATATATATATTCAATAAATACGTGTTTTATCTACTGTAGCAACCATCTTTGACTGCAAGCGTAAAACTTTAAAACAGGCCCACATATGGCAAAAGTCTGTCCTTTACTTTTAGTTTCTTACTCTTTTTTTGTCTTTTGGCCATGTGCGGGCCCAGCTGGGAATGTGAAATTGTGAAATTTTTGTGCCCTTTTTGCTTTGGCAAAAAAAAACAGCAAAAATTATGTCAGCGTGCACGTTGGCTGGCACACATGAAAGATACTCATGTTACGGATGCGGATACAGATACAAATGCGCTCGAATAGCTCGCTTGAACCATGACCAACAAATTTGTCATGGCCAAAAAAAAGACAGAGTGTGTGTGAGTGTGTGTATGTGTGTGTTATGCTTTAATTTTGCATTTCACAATTTTCATTTTCATTTTCATTTAAGCTAAATGTGCGCTGCCCCGCATTCTATGCTGCGTGCTCCACAAAGTAAACAGCAAAACAAACCGGGCCTCGACGACTAAATAAACAAGAGACACCAAGCAGGACGTAAACACATACCAAAACACCAACACACACAAACACACGCACACACACACATGTGTAAAAAAAACAAGTTTAGCATTTTACTTTGTTGTTAAGCTGAAGTATTGACCAGCTTCTGTTAGGCCGAGAGACAAAACTCAGTTACAGATACTTATATATATATATGTGTGTGTAGCTAAATATACGTATATACATATATATATGTTTATGCTATTTCAATATTTTTTTGACAATCTCTGTTGCAGTAGTTCAAAGGTCAAAGCGTGCGGACTTGAGGCAGAGGTGGAGCGAGAGGGCAGACGAAGGCCTTTTTGTAGCGTGTGTTTTGTGTTTGTATTGTAGCTGCCTATTGGCCCGCAGCACAGAGTGCGTATAATTATGGCAGCATAAACAACAACAGTGCACACACTCACACACACAAGCTCTGTTGGAGTTGAGGCAATTTGAACAGCTGCTTTCCATTTGCCTGCCTGCCTCCATATCCTTCGCGTATGCGTGTTAATGGATTTTACTGTTTTTGCAGCTTTCGCTTACAACTTTTTTTGTTGGTTGTTGTTTCTGTTGTTGGTGTTTTGTATTGCAGTTGCATAATTGAAAATTAATTATTTACAAATTGTTAAATTGGCAGACGCTTAACGTGCCACACGTTGCGCCAGAAGTTATCAATCAAAAGCTCTTTAACTGCCCGCTCGAATGAAACAATTGCATAATCGCAATAGATATTGAAACTGATATTATTAGCCACTCCGATACAGTTGTAACTGTTTATGAAGTTCGAATTGCTCAGCAATTTATAAGTGCAGATCGTTTAGCTAATGATTTCCAGTCTTAGTATTGAAATTTTGAATCGATTTCGGCGCAAGTCTTGCTTTATGATATATTTATAAGCTTAATCTTTTAATTAAAAAAAAAAATTATTTGTTTAATATAAATGCGCGTTGTTCTGAAAATATTTGAAATCCTAACTATTTTTATTTACTAAATACGCGCTAGATAAAATCTCTGATTTTCATCAGGATTCCTTATACTTACTTATACGTATTCGTATGAGTATACTTATACTTATACTTATACTTATACTTATACTTATACTTATACTTATACGGAGACTTATACGGAGACGGAGACGGAGACGGAGACTTATACTTAGACGGATACTTATACGGAGACGGAGACGGAGACGGAGACTTAGACGGAGACGGAGACGGATACTTAGACGGAGACGGATACTTAGACGGATACTTAGACTTATACGGAGACGGATACTTAGACGGAGACTTATACGGATAATTATACGGATACTTATACTTATACGGATACTTAACGGATACGGATACTTATACTTATACTTATACTTAGACTTATACGGAGACGGATAATTATACGGAGACGGATACGGATAATAGACGGAACGTATACTTAGACTTATACTTATACTTATACTTATACGTATACTTATACTTATACTTATACTTATACTTATACTTATACTTATACTTATACTTATACTTATACTTATACTTATACTTATACTTATACTTATACTTATACTTATACTTATACTTATACTTATACTTATACTTATACTTATATTTGTTCTTATACTTTTACTATTACTTTTCCTTTTATTTACTCTTATACTTATACCCATACCTTTAATAATTTTTATTCAAACTTACTTTGTTTCACGCCTTTCAATCGTCTTTATCTCCTCATATTTTGTAAAGCTTTCAACGTATTGCAAGAGTCTTTTGATAGTTTCCTTCACTTCTTTTCGCAGTCTCTGTTTGAATCAGTCGAAAGAGAGATGATGATTCGATTTAGGCAAGCAACACTGTATCTACACACATATTTATTTATCCAAGGTATATTCTTGGCTCTGGCTGAGCCTCAGCAATTCAATTCGCTCGCATTTGATTTATATTGGAATTTATTCCCTTGGCTGTGCTCACAAATTGATTGATTAATTCAATAAAGCGCTGATAGCAAGCTGACTGCATAACTTCAGCCGGCGCGCTGTTCCCTTTTATGGGCGCTCACTTTTTGGCCCTTTTGGCAGCAGTTTCACCTGTAAACAGACAACAAAAATGAATAGAAATAAATATCCATTTCAGAGATTGGCTTTTTATGCAACTGAAATTGGAACTGAATCTGAGACCGAACTGCGCTGCGCTGCGCTAAGCTGAGCTGAGTCGTAAGTGATTAGAGTAATGCACTAGCCATGAAATTTTAGTGCAGCGCTTGCAACACTTGCAACACTGGCAACAACTGCCATTAAGCGTAAACAGCAAAAGTCAATATAATAAACAAGTCGAGTTCAGCGTCAAGAGAGTCAAGCACAATTGTCCTCATTCTTCTACACGTCTAGCGAAATGGCATCCTGCTGACGCTCAATACAACTGAAATGGAGCACAGGCAAAAGAAAACTGTGTATTAACAAAGAGTGAATACCCTTATGAGACTACTTATAGATAATTGTATGATACTTGGTACTTGTATGATAACATATATATGCAACATTATAAAAGTCTTAGATGTAGGCAAGGGATGTATCTCAAAAAGCATAAAAGTATTAACTATTCTCTATATATTCTATCGCCATGACACACATATATATTTTTTTATGATATAGAATAGTTATCTCTAATATATATTCACTTTTAATACTCTCTTCTTATATATATATATATATATATATATATTATAATGTTTAGACATGTTATAATATATGCTGAAGAGCTTCGAGTGCATTGCACATTGCTTAGCATATTTGTAGTATCCTTGGCAAGGACATAAAAACAATTCGCTACTGTCAATATGTCACACTCAGAAGTACACATACGCACACACAGAGGACCTACAGTTAGAGTCGAAGGATAACAGCAATGTTGTTTGTATATGCTGCGCCTGTCGCTCGACTATGGTCTTTAATTTGCTTCTGCCGCCAGTATACGATAACAATAACCATAACCGTGGCCATAACCAAGACACACACACACACACACGCACGCACAGCATATCTATCGTGCATGAAATATGCGAATGGAATTGATATTGATGCAAATGAAAAATGTCAACTATTCGCGCGAGTAACAAACTGCGAGCAACGCTGTCACATGCAGCAACACTGTGTGTGTGTGTGTGTGTGTAACATGGTAACGCTAGCGACTTTGTGTGTGCCCATGCTTCCCATGTTTATTTATTCATTACAAGTAATACGCGCATGCCTTGTGACACGCCCCCTTGCAGCTGTGTAATGTAATATTTTTGTACATTTTATATGCATGTCATTTGGCAAGCTGCATTTTAACAAAAAGCACAGAAAAAGGACATGTATAAAAAGTGCTGCGAGCGAAAATTGTAAAAATATGATTAAGACATGGCAGCAGGTGCTGCCTCGCCAGATAACAGGGGCGTCGCTAAAAGGAGCCAACCACGCGCAATGTTCATTTGTACGTTGAGTAAAAAGCATAAATAATTCTGCATTAAACTAATGAAAAGTTGGCCAAAGCATATGCTGCTCTATAAGAGCATTACACAGACTATCACTAGTTCGCGTTCCAGTAGTCTCCCTCTCACTCTTGCTGTATATATATATATATATATCTGTCTCTACTTTGACTTGCTCACTAAGCTGCGGCTAAGCTGTTTTAAAAAGCGCAAGAACATTTTAAAGTTTTTCTCTTTCATAACGATATAGACAAATGCTACAAACGAATTACTGAAGATTAAACAGGCTAATCATGTCTAAGACTATATTAACAGAGTAAACAGAATTCCTATCGTGTCTGATACTTGAACATAAAACTATAATCAAAACTTTATTCATTTAATTTAGTTGAATAAGATTTCTGAAAATGCAAATCCATTTCATTTAAAAGTCTTTCTGTAAGTCATGTATCATGCAGATATGCTTCTTTGTTTCGGCATTTATGCCCAATGAATTTGCAAGCAATTAAAGTTAGGACTACACAAATTCTCATCCACTTTCTCTTATCACATTTTTGCCTCTGCCTTTTTATTTATTGAAGACAAAATTGTATTTTTTAAAAGAAAATGAAATTAAAGAATTATGAATTCCATGTGCTGCACACTTATTTGGCAAACAACTATTGACCGGAAATTCATATTTACTAACAAAAAAAACACTATTAAGCCAAACCTTTGTTTATAAAATACAAAAATATGTAAACAGCCCAAATTCCTTGGAGTATTTATGCCAAGCAAATTTGCCAGGAATTGCTGTAAATTTTTTTTCTTTTCGTTTTGTTGTTAAAATAAATATTTGAAACGTTTGTTGATATTTTTGCATAAACAAGTTCAAAAGTTCAACAATTTCTTTGAATGGCAGACATATGTTGTTAATATTTAAGAGCACTTACGCATATATTTATATAGAAGTATATATATGCGTTACGCATGTATGTGTAGCTCTCAATTAAAGCCAACTGCAAACTGTTTCTGACTCTTGCTACGCATATTCATGACTCGCATCAAGTGATTCCAGTTTACAATTTTGCAGGCTATTCATGTGGGCGTATTTATGCTTAAATATGAGTGTACACACAGAGGGTGTCCACAGAGAAGGAGAGAGATCTGATAGCTGTTTATATGTTTGTGGCATGGACATTCAAACAGTAAACATTTCAACAAGCTTTCATATCAGCACCGGGCAAAGCGAAGAGTCGCGTCGGCTGGACCGTAAATTACAAGCGAAAGCGCCAATTAATCATACGCACTGTTTGCCCAACCATGGCGAGGTCAAACGCAGAAACAGTAAAGCAAAAAAGCCAGAGAGATGGAGGCGGACAGCAAAGTAGACCACGCCCCCCTACCGTATAATAGCGCACATTTTATAAATAGTCAAACCAATTTCAACAGAATGCATTCATTTGGCCATATATTTTCATATTGTTATTGATGTGCAACATTATCTCTTTGATATCGTTTGAGATGTGTTGGGAATAGGGTATGTTGAAGTCTATAGAGGACTTTGGTCTAAAGATTGGTTGGTTCTTTTACTAGTTAAGATCTGAAAACTTCTAAACTTCTCAACTTTCTATTCATTTGCCTTGATAACAACCTTCTCTTGTATTTAAACATTTATATCTAGATTACAGGGTATCTGCTCGCAAATCCTTTATCTATTTATATTCTATATTTATTTCTATTCATCAAATTGCTCACTGATAATTTTCTATCAACTTTTCCCTTTAAGCACTTCCATGCAGCTTACAGGGTATCTGTTCGTCTACCACTTAATGCCTTTCCATTTTCATTTTTGGTCGTCTATTAAATAAAATTAATTTGCATGTTGTGTGGCTAAATGCGTTTATTAAAAATAATAAATGCAATTGCATAAATTTTCCACAATGCTGCAGTTTATGAAAATTGCCAACAGGTGGCGCCAGCTACCTGTGTGTGCGTGTGTCAGTTACGAGCAGTTCATGTACAACACGCACTCCGTCCATAAATTGAATATAAACACAGGCAGCTGGTCCATTCTGGCGTAGGTCCTGCTGTAGCCCATTCCCCCTTGACCTGCTCACCTGCAAGGTAGTCGAAAACGTTGCTCTGTGGTCCTGTGCGCATAGAAATTCATGAATTTTAAAGGCGGCACATCAAATGGGCGACCGTCGAGTCTTTTGGCCTCACTGTCTGTTTGCTGTCATGTCACATCCTGTTGTGTTGTGTCCATTATGATGTTATCAAACACACACACCCGCACACGCACACACACACTCACCTCCTGCTGTGATTCACACATCACACACACACACACACATTAGACTTAGATTGACAATTCTGCTAATTTTGTACTCAAATGTAATTTACGCTCAAATTACATTTCCAACTTGCTGCTCAGATTACATTTTGACCAAGCCACGTCCTGTCGGTCCTGTCGGACCTGTCGTCTGTCCTGTCTCTCGGTTTGCTCTGTGTAAACCCCCTTCCCAACGAAATTGTATTACCAATTCTAATTTATTTGTCGTTTAACTGTTGCCCATTTGAGCGCCCGTAGACCAGGCGATTGTGTTGCTGCTACACAGCATCCATAGCTAATATTGAACATATGCAGACACATATAACATATATAGAGATATATATATCTAAAAACTTTGACAGATACTGAAACCTTATTGATGGCTTGCCTGATTGATGATCGATTTGGCTAACAGAAATTTTACTGCTGCCTGCAAAACAACTTCACAAGTTCGAGGTATTTCTGTGTACATGAGGCAAATCAATTTTGCACCGAAAATTCAGAAAAATGGCGACAAATTCTGTGCCAATTGCAACGCAGCTGCAACAGATTCTGTGCAGCAGCTCTAATTGAATTTTTTTTATCGAAAACTTTGTGCAGCAAAAAAGAATATCATTTCATCAATCGGCACAGCAATATTTCTCGCAGCTCAACGCAATGTGATTAGGAAAATCCAATTGATTTCCACTGACTGCGCTAAGTGGCAGAAGAGAAAAGTGTTTTACGTATGCAAGGAAAACTTTGATATCTTTTTTTTTTGGCAATTAAATGGGAGTTTGCATTAGGCATTTCGAGTTGCTGGATTATGAAGTCTGTTTAAGGTTAATTTAGATGTGTGGGGCAAGCTATGAAATAGCAGCCAACTGCCTATTAAAACCCATCCTAATATGCTCTTTACTCATCTAGTCATCTAGTCTACCTTTGCTCTAAAACCAACTTGAGCTCTGTAAACAACTCTTGAGCTGAGTTCTTCTTCGCTTTCAGTGACTGTTACCTGCTATATAAGCTCGCACCTGCTGCAGCGCTGATTCAGTTGCATTCCAGAGCTCGGGCTGGTCAGTCGCTCAGTGCAGTGTTGTTTAGTGTAGTCGAGTGTAGAGTGTGTTTGTGTATACACTCAATTACCTACTTAAACTAAGTATTCTTTAAACAATTTGTAAACTCAATAAACAATTAGTAATAATTAAATAATAATAACAATATTAATGATTGAAATGATTATAATCATGTTAATAATACAATAGGTGTTTATTAACAGATGATGATAATCATAATGATGTTTGTTAAAATAATAAATGATTTAATGAATAGAATATTGATGTTAGGAATGAAATTATTATAATGATGTTTAAAGTGATGAACATAATAATGATCTTCATTATCAAAATTATTATGCTAAAGACTATAATAATTATATATAATTAATTAATTATAATACAGTAATTTAATTAATAAGTATACCTTAATTAATTATCATCAATTAATCAGGTACAGTTGGAAATTAAGAGAAAGAAGGTGAGAGGTGGAATGAGAGAAGAATTCATCTCTTCTTCTATTCGAGAGGGAGAGAAAGAGGGAGAAAGATAATGAAAGCGATGAAGCTGACAAAAGATAGATAAGGAAAAAGAAACAGAGAGTGAGATGGAAATTAAGAGAGATATCGAGCGAGAGCAAGTGAGAAAGAGTAGAATGCGATTGAAAACGTAAGAGAGAGAAGGAGATAGAGATTAAGAGCCACATCTGCTGCGAGAGATAAAGCGAGAGTGACAGCAATGCCGCTGACTATAATTAAGCCAAGGCTACTGAAGCAAGGCTGCGAGCGAGAGATAGAGAGCTATAGCTAGATCTAAAAAGGAAAGAGTTAAAAGCAAGAGTGCAAGTGGAACACAGAACCACAGCTAGAGCGCTGCAGATCGATATAACACGGTACTTAAAAGTTAAAATAGTGAATATACCTTTCAAATCCCCTCCACACTAGTCCTGAATTTCTAAATTTATTCAATTGAAGCAGTAATTGCGAAATATATTTCTTTTTCGATACCTAAGCAAACACAAGAGACCGAATCGCTTGCTTATTCAATGACCAATCCAAACCCAAAGAGTCCTTCAGCACAATAGCCAAACACTTCTCTGATTTCGCTTCATTTCAGTTTCGTTTTAATTAATGCCAAACCTAAGCAAATATTTTTGCAAATGTTTTTCATTGTTTTTAGCGTTCGCGCTCTCCATCCAGCAATTGAGTATAGCTTTTGCCTGAAATATAATCAGCTTTGCGGAATGTAGAGCAATATCAGATTTCGCGTTACACTTTATAATGACAGCGCAGAGAGCGTGCAAATTAAAATATTACGTATACGCCGCGTTTTATTTTTGTTTCATCTATGCAAAGCGAAGTTCTTTTTTATTGCTGCTGCATTTGACAAACTGCACGGCAGGAGTTGCGCGTCATTGCCATTCATCGCGGCCCACGGCTGAGGTGTTCTGACAATGGGCGTGGCAGTTGTCGAGTGGAAGCAACAAATGAACATGCGCGCGTATGATGGAGCGCTTGGCAATGGCAACGCAATGACGACACTTGAAATTGTTTTGCGCGTGTTTTTCCAGCTAGCGCCGCGACCCCCTCTCCCACGTATGCTCAGGACACATTCATCAAAACGCTGGCGACATTCATCACGTCATTCATGTCAACATCAACATCACGAGAATGTCGCCAGGTTCAGCGTCATTTTCATTGTCTCTATCAACGTTTAGACTACGCTTACTTGAAGTTTATAGCTTTTGCCACAAGGCAGAGGCAGCTGAGCTGCCTGTCGAGTTAAAGCACTGAGCGAAAAAGGGGATATGAAATATATGTATATACAATCTTAGGTAACAAATTGAAGTAGTTAATAAGGTTTTTTAGAAGGGGAAAAATATATTATGATAGTGATAGGATATGATATGATATGAGATATGAGATATGCATGACTATAGAGCTGGTAATACAATTTATATAAACTCGCTTATAATACCACAATTCCTTAAATCTGATACTTGATTGAACAAATTGGATATTTGAGCTGCTTGAAATCTGAGTTGAGATGAGCAGAGCTTAGAGGACAAACGTATGCCATGCCACAAACACCTTTGTTATGTATTTATACAACACTCATGCATAGCCAGATCAATATAAAAGCAAATATATGTTTGCCACGCCCACTTAGCCCTATTCACAATAGCTAAGCTGCAGCAAAAGCTATTGAGCCATTTTCAGTTACATTTCTTACTCAAGTTGCGGTATTTCATAGTCAAGAACTATGATTAAACTTATCTGTCTCACTCAAGTTAGGGTACATCACAGTCGCATTTCTGCTATTTCCAGCTAAAATTTATAGTCAAGTGAGGGTAGCTGCTAGTCTATCATATAAACTGCCTAAGAAATCTCTAACAACTCAGCTAATAACTTACTTAAGGTCGTCCATTAACATCTTGTATTACTCTTAAAGTTAAGGTATATCAAAGTCGCATAAGTCATTAATTTCTTGCGTTTCGACATGGTTTTTATTTCTGATTGCTAGAAAATAAGATTAATTAGTTCAACCTGTAACTGTAGCTGAGGGCAAAAGTTGTTGCTGAAACATAACTGTGGCTAAAAACTGAAGCCGACACAGGAGAACCAGCAGCAGAAGAAGAAGCAAAAGCAGAAGATGAAGAAGCTGTAAGAAAAATGTTGATGTTGGGCGATTTTCCTGGGACGCAACTCAAAGGCAAACACCTGAGATTTCCGTTTCCGCTGGGACTGTTGGAAAATGTTGTTGCTCGCTACGCTTTGTTTCGTTATGCTCTACCTATCTTTCTTTCCCTCTTTCTCTCTCTCTCTCTCTCTCTCTATGTGTCTCTGTCTTTCTCGCTCTATATGTCTGTCTTTGTTGCATGTCGTGTATTCTGTGCTGTTGCGTTTCCTGTTGCCTTGCCAATATCCGCTAACCGTTTACCTTTGCTTTTACCCTTACTCTTGGCTTGAGCTTTACGTTTACTGTTTAGCGTGTAGCCTTAGCCTTAGCCTTACCGTTAGCTTTATCTGCCGCCTGTTTTGTCATTGTTACTGCCCCATAGCCTGTTCGCTCGCCCCTAATTTATTTATGTTGTCAAATTACACGACATAAATGAATCAATGGCTCCTGCGGCAATTGCCCAATAACCAGAGCCAGGTCACATTATTCTGCCAAGGACACCTGAACGGAGCTGTACGTGTGTGCGTGTCGCTCGCTCGCTCACTCTCTCTCTCTGTCTCTGTCTCTCTCGCTCTCTGTGTTTTTGCGGCTGCCATTTTCAATTTGTGCTGCAGCTGCGGCTGACTTATTATGAAAAATTGTGCATTGATTAATACAAGCAGGCAGCGGGGCGTGGCAGCAGCTACTCATAATAACTACACACACACACACACTTATATGGCTTGGTACGTGCTGATTGCACTTGGCCTCGCTGATTGCAGCCTTGTTTTGGCAGTTGACATTATTTAAGCCAAGCAGCATGGGAAAGCTCTGGCCAAACCAAATTGCCAAATACTTGAACACATAAATCAATTAATTCTAAATGTCAGTTTACATTGTAAACATAAACAAACACACACTCACACGCACAACCACAAATCTTGATCAAATGTAGCTAGCGTCACAGCGGGTCGTCGCTTGCTTCTTCCATTCAAGTGCTACAAATAGAGCCCTAAAACAGATAAGGCAATATACATACGCATACATATAGATATATTTGTATGTACATATACTTATGGCAAGTTTCACACCATGCGACCGCACGCAGCTGTGAGGCACTGTCAATAGACTGCCTTTTATCTATGTAGTTGTTGTTGTTGTTCTCTATCTTCTTCTTCTTCTTGTTCGGTTGGTTAGTGCCACATCATTTAATGAAGCGTTCGCATTGTTATTTACTTCAGCTTTCAATATGTGGGCGGCTCTTTTTTTTTCTCTCTTTTTTCAATTTTTTTTGCCATTTTTATTAATGGTTCCCGTGCGTTTTCAATACTGAAACCGAAGACCCTATGTAAAGCACGTAGCCGTAGCAGAAGAAAATAATAATAATAATATGTCTCTTTAGCCACAATAGGCTTTAGCTCGTGGCATGTACATAAATTTGAACTTGAGTGTCTTAAGTATATGAAATTTATGCGGCGTGACTTTAAAGCGCAATTTATCTAAGTTAAAAACATGTTATTGAACATTTTACAACACTTCATTTTAGAGACGAACTTAGAGCACTGAAAAGTTTCTTGAAACTAAAATCTATTTATATTTAAAATGTATTTAAATCTGTAAAATTTTGCCTACTATTTTAGCATGGGATCCACGTAGCTACTAAACTTAACGAAACATTTTACAACACTGGTTTCTTCTAGATTTATTTATAATGACTAAAAAGCGAATTTAAATTTAATGAACATTTTGCAACACTGTTTTTGAGACACAGACTTCTAATACTATCAAGTCTCATTATACCATATATATATACCTAAAATAATGTTGTGCAAGCTCTATTCGACGTTTTACAGCACTAGTTTCTTAAAGGCAAGACTTCTAGTATTAAAAAGACCTAAAAGTTCTAAAAAGTATATTCCTGAAATCAAGTGTTTTTTAACAACATACGCTCAGAATTGTAAAATGCTTAGAATTCGAAATTAGTGTTGTAAAGTTATCAAAACTAATTTGTACTCACAATATTTGCTCTCTAGGGCTGCAGCATTTTATGATTTTCAATTTATGGTCTATCTACAATTTGCATAATATGTTGAAGTGCCACATAAAACGTTTATGGCTGGCATTTTACAACACTGCGCCTGATAAACGTTATGCTAATGTAGCTGTTAACAGCTTTAAAGGTAGCTGTTAAATGAGGCGTAAATTCGTTAAGCGTTCAAGGTTATCTGAATTAAATTAAAGTGTAAAAACTTCAAGGCATAAAACGAGGTTATTTTTTACAAAAACTCAAGATTTATCGCTACTCGACATATTTTATTTACAAGCATGTGGAATTAAGCTTAAAACGCTGTCAGCGTATGCTCATAATGCCATCAAGTCTAATTGAAAACGGTATTAAACAACAATTTGGTATAATCCATACGAATTTATGTACATGACACATAAAGAACAACGCGGCCAAAACTTGGGCGGAAGTGAAAGAAAACTGAGCAGACGAAGAAGAAGATAGAGCGACGACAGCAGCAGAAATAATTACGCAAACTCACAGAAAGATATATAAATATATTTGTGTGTGTGTATAAAAGAGCTATAAAAATGAATACAGTCAATATATGCAAAGGAAAGGACGAAAGGACATAAGGAAGCCAGCTGATAAAGCAGCTGTTGACCCAAGCTGTAGTTTGTAATAATACCCTGTAGGCCTGAACGAGCTGAAAAAGATGAGCTTGACTGCACTTGGGGAAACGAAGTGCAAATTGGACATAGGATATTTTAAAAGAGTTTTCAGTGCTTGGAAATCTGAAAGTAGAAATCTGATAAATATATGACTTAAGACATCTATAGTGTTGACATGTATAGTGTTGGAAAACCAGTGTTGCAAAGTTATTGAAAATGCTTATAAGCAACGCGTGTCCCACAACAACTCAAGCCGTTGGCTAATTATGTCCTTTTATATTCCTGGTGCCATCCAATAGTTATACCATTAAATACTTTGCAATTCATTTCATTTCATAATGTATACAGCCTTTTCATAATTACACAGCACTTGCTAGTCGGGCATTGCCAGCAGCTCCTCACTCGCCTTTTGGCCCAATATGTAACTGTTAAAATGAAACTTTATGCCAGGCCTTTCATTACCCATTTGTTTCTTGTGTGGCCAACGGACGAGCGATAAGTGATATAAAATGAGCTTGCGGCTTAAGTTATGTTGCTTCACCTTCGTCCTCTGAGCCCTGATCCCGGTCACGCCCATTTGAGGCAAGTTAAGCAGCTTGCGGTCGTGTAAATTCATTTAGCAAACTGGCTAAAGAATGCTTGCGACCATTGCGACCGAAAAGTTTTTAAGATTTAGTTCAAGTCTCCACGTTGGCTCAGCTACTTCACAATTCATCAAAATGTATGTGGGGGCCACTAGGTGCGGGGGAGGCGTGGCATGTTACGTGCACTTTCACTCTGGGCCAAGGGTCTTGTGAATGCTACAAAAATTGTATAAAACTTTTAGCCAGTCGCATTCAATGTGTGTGTGTGTGTGTCTGAGTGTGTGTGTGTCTCTATATAAATTGTTGTCAAACTGTAGCCAAAACATTTCAAGACGTTGAAAATTTCTGTTGTGAAAAGTTTTGTCCAGTTATTTAATTGAATTTAGCACCCGAAGGCGTTGTGGCCATTCCCGCTCGCCCCCTTGACCCCCTCTATCTCTGCCTGTTTGCTTCTATATTGTATTTATTTTGTTATTTGCGCGCTTAGATTTGTCCTTCTACAACCACCCGTGCCGCCCTCTTCCACAGCCACCCGCAGCCAACGAAAATGATGTGGCCAAAAAGCTTTTGAGGCCATGTGAACTGCTGCTGTTGCTGTTTTGCTGTTGCATTTGCAGCAAAGTTTCTATGGCTGTTTATTAAAGAGCTAAGCGCACTTAATAAGCTTATGTACGGCTATGGCCCCAGTGTTGGGCATTGGCGCGTGACCCGTTGCTCCGACCAGTGTTGGGCAGCTCAAATGCTTGCCCATTCAATTTACAAAACAATTCAAATTACATAGAAACTCAAAAATGCCTTAGACTTTGCCTTTGACTTCGCCTTCATTCAACCATCATTTGCTGTTGCCCCTTTGCTGCAGCTCTTCGCTTTCAGCAGGGGCAGATAGAGCGAGAGAGATAGAGAGAGTCCATAGCGCTGCTGGAATGCGTTTTTAAAATAATATTGCATAACTGTCAGGCACAGCCGTCAGTACGCCGTGCACCATGGCCTACGTGTCTATCATATTAAGTACAAGCAAAGGTAGAACCAAATTCTAGAGAACTTTTGTATTTGCTGTAAGGTCTAAGACTACGTTATCAATAAACATCAGAATGTTATTGCACAAAGCTATGCTATGCAAATAAATAACAAATAAAAAACTTTAGGTAGGCAAATAACAGAATTGTCTTATAACATAAGTCTGTTATTGCACAACTTTGAACTGTGTAGATAACAGAGTGAGCTGTTATGTGTATAGCAGAGTAATGTTAGTCTGCACATATAACAGAAGAATGTTATTGTACATAGCTGAATGATGTAAATAACATAAGGATGATACACCACAAAGGTGAACTATGTAGATAACAGAATTACTAGGCTGTTATGATAATAGAATGTTATTCCATAAAGTTATACTAATGTAGATAACAGTGTTAGGTATTGTTACTTTAACTAAGAATTCTCTCGTAAAACGTAGCTACTTAACCCACTGTGCGCGTGCCAGAACAAATGCAAGAAATAACTCAACGTTTACTTGAATTGCTTTAGTATGAGTGCGCTTATGTTTGAGTGTATTTGTGTGTGTGTGTGTGTTTGCGTGCAAACATTTTAATTGCACAAACATAAGTACAACAAATCGAGTGTCTGGAGAGAGAGCAGCTTGCCTTGCAGCAGAAGACAGGAGTGCATTTTACTGCATAATTCGTTTGGCATTTAATCGGATTTGGGAGCGTGTGCAAGGCAGAAGTTTCAGAGTCTGCGAGTCGAAATTCGAATCCTTTTGGTAAGCAACGACAACTGAAACGCTTTGGGCTTCATTAATATGCGTAAAACGCAACGGAAACCACGCCGGATTTAATAATATTAAAACGACGACGATGACGATGACGACGTCTGGCACAACCTTCGTTTACCACTTAACGAAATATGATGGCTGTGGCTGATGTGTGTGTGTGTGTGCGAGTGCGATTCGGGCGGTTTTCTGTGGTGCGGTGTGCTTGTGGGTCGCCATTAAACGCAATTAATTGCTCACACTTAACACAGGCCAAAGCAGTCAGACCGGAAATTTCAGCAACTGCCGTCAACAGTCAACAAAACAGTCAGCAGTCAGCCGTCAGTCATTATGCAACACTGGCTGCCAGTTCGGTCACACTGGACAGGGTTGCGAGGCAGCTAATTACGCACGTATGGCTATTTAAATTGGCTTCGCTTGTCGTGGCTTCGAAATGTTAGTTTTATGTTAATTAACCATTGTTTATGCCAATTAAGGCATCTGCTTTGAGCTTCTGATATGCCGCAAGTATTCAAAAATCAGCACGACTCAGCAGTAGGTAAAGGAATGGGTGGTTGGGTGGTTGTGCGTTTCGGTGGTGCGGAGCGCATAAAGAGCATAGCTTATGCTTACGCACAAGTTGATAATCGTTTGCAGCTGATGTTTGCTAGAATATTTTAATTATAGCTAATCTTTATGGAACAATCTATTATATTTAAAAGCGCCCAAGTGGGCGGGGCCAGCACAAAATACTTTAGTGCTGTGTTGCCGCGACAGCAGAGGGCCGTATAATTAGGGCATCTAATCTGGCGCAGATATGCGCGTATATATACTATATATAATCGAGTAAATATGCCATACATTTGAAATCTCTTTCCTTAATAGAGACAAATTTATAATGAAAGTTATGTAAAATCTTTATATAGTCTAAATAGTTAAAGGAGCTGTTGATCTATATGATACATATGACATATATATGAACTATATGATCTATATATGCTATATGATCTATATGAGCTCTATGAGCTCAATGAGCTATATATTGCATGTGATGTATACAATGCATATGCTGTATATGATGTATAGAATGTATATAATGTATATGATGTATATGTTGTATATGATTTATATGATGTATAAGATGTATATGATGTATATGATGTATATGATGTATATGATGTATATGATGTATATGATGTATATGATGTATATAATGTATATGATGTATATGTTGTATATGATTTATATGATGTATAAGATGTATAAGATGTATATGATGTACATGATGTATATGACGTATATGATGTATATGATGTATAGGATGTATATAATGTATATGATGTTTATGTTGTATATGATTTATATGATGTATATGATGTATAGTATGTATATGATGTACATGATGTATATGTTGCATAGATGTATATGATGTATAGTATGTATATGATGTATAGGATATATATGATGTATATGATGTGTATAATGTATAGGATTTATAAGATGTATGTGATGTATATT